ATTAAAGAGAGAGAGAAAAACACAGAGGCCTGGAGAAACTGGGCAATGTATTAGAGAGAGAGAGAGAAACACAGAGACTCCCAGAGAAACTCAGCGGTACAACAGAAAGAGAGAAACAGAGAGTCCTGGAGAAACAGCAGTATGTTAGAAAGAAAAACCCCAAAGGATCCTAGAGAAACTGAGCAACATGTTAGAGAGGGAAATAAAACAGCCTAGTGACACTTCTGTTTCTCTCTCCACAGAAGCTGCCAGACCTGCTGAGTTTATCCAGTATCTCTGTTTTGTTTCAGAGTCCCAGCATCTCCAGATCTTCGTGTTTATTTTACAGGAAGAAGGAACTTGCTCAGCAGGGAAAATAGGAATAGAGCAGAGTGCAGAGAGAATGAGATGGAGAAACAGGACACAAAAGGAGAGATGGGGAGGATGTTACATGGGGAGGGAGGATGGGGGCTTATTACCAAGGTTGTTACAGAGGTGGGGGTGTGTGTTACAGAGACAGAGAGAGATGGGGTGGAGTCACGTCACAGAGGGCATGTAATATTGCTCTCTCACAGGCATTCCCTGGTGGTCGACAATAGCATGCTTCCACATTAAAGTTCTCAGGTGACTGAAGAGTTCAAAGTATCCCCTACGAATCTTTGTCTCAGTTGGAGCAAATGGTGGTTGGGGGAAATGGGAAGATGGAATGTATGGATTTGCCACCCAATCTTTTCTCTGTTGATGCTTGACTTCACCTTGTCAGCAATGAGACTTGAGCTAAACAGATCTTTCCCAGGTGCTATCCCTCCACAATGATGGTCATGGATGCGGATTTCCAGGTGCCAATGGGGATGTTGCACTTTGTAAAAGGGGCTTTGAGTGTGTCCTTGAAATTTTTCCTTTGCTGTCTTGGATCTCACTTGCCCTGTTGAAGTTTCAAATGGTGTTTGTTTTGGAAGTCTCCTACCAGGCATGTAGATGATGTGGCCAGTCTAGTGTGGTCAGTGCTTTGATGTTGGAGATATTGACCTGAGTGAGAATACTGATGCTGCTGCATGTAGTCTGTCAATGGATTTGTAGGATCTTGTGGAGGCAGCACTGGTAGTACTTCTCCAGGGTTTTGAGGTACCTCCTGTACATAGGAGGGTGGGTATCACAAGACAAACCAAGAGTTTGGTGGTGGGCTTGAGTCATATTCTTCAAAGACTTTCTTCTCTGATGTTGTGTTGACCTCATTGCTAATGTCTGTCCATCTTGACAGTAGACTCCCAAGGTATGCAAAGTGGTCCACAGTGTGCAAGGTTTCGTTGTGGAATTTGATTACTGAAAGGCAGTGCAATGTGGTGGGGTAACTTGGTAAGAGAACTTTTGTCTTAAAGTTAGGGTAAAGCCTACATTCTCACAGGTCTCAGTGAAGATCAGCATGGAGCTTGGTCTTCGAGTGTGCATAGATGCAAACATCATCGGCAAACTGTAGTTCAATGACAGAGGATGAGACAACCTTGGATCTGGCCTGCAGGTGGCAGAGATTGAACAGGTTCCCATTTGTCCTGTAGATTAGCTCCACTGTTGGAGCTTGCTATATGTATAGTGGCACACTTTAGCAAAGAAGAATGAAAGGAGCAGTTGTGGGCTCCTGTTATGGTATGGTAATATGCACATCTTTGTGGTCCCTCAGTAGGATGATTGACCTAGTTAAGGAGGTGCCAGAGCTTGAAGCAAGAGTGTTGTTTTGAGGCCTTGTACTTGTCTTTAGTTGGAGCAAGATGTCAGTTATGGGTAAGGCTGTGTTTTAGACATTTTGCCAAGAGAATACTGTTGTCATTAAGAGCAACAGTGAGAAATGGAACTACAGAGATGGGAGCTATGGAGAGCAAACAATAGAGAAGAGATGTAGAGCCTGATATGAGGGAGAAGAAGAAAAAGAGTCAGAAAAGTGAGGGGAGAAATGACAGATGAGAGAGGTGGATAAAGAGAGATAATGCAGTAAGACAGGAATACGAAGTACAAATATGGAAGGAATATGGAGAGAAAGAAATGGGGTACAAAAAGAGGAGGATGAAGGAAAATAGAGAGGAAGAATTATAGGGAGATGCACCGTAAGGTATCCACACCAAATGACAAAGGAAAACGGTTTAATATTAAAATGGCAGAGCATAGTTCTTTGGGGGTTAAGCTAGTGAAATTGGTAATGCATCAGAAAACCAATCAAATTCTAAGCTACACTCCAGTTCATTAATCTGCATGTCCTCATCCTCCTCAGATAAAACAGCTACCAAACACCACATGCTAATCACTCTATAAGAACTTTATTGCAGTATTATTTCGTTTAATGTGAGCCATGGGTTTCACAGGCTTCCACAAACTCACCTGAAGCAATTGGCTTCTTCCATCTTTTGGAAGTTTCTTCTCTACTTTGGAGGAATAACCTATCACATCAGCATAGAAGGCACTTTTAAACTATTTTAGATTGCATCTCAGATAAGGACCAAGATGACCAACATAACAGCACCAGTAGTAACCTGCTGAGCGCAGACCTGTGGAGAGAGAAGGGCAGCAGAAAGCTGCATCCCACAAGAAGGCCACAAGCACCACAAAGGCGCTATCGGTCAATGATCAGCTTTCTTCATATCTCAGAGCAATATCAGATCAGGTGGTAGTAGATATCGGCAGGAAGAAGACGTACTGCTGGTTGAACCTGCCATTGCTCTGATTACCATATAACCAGAAGACTTAAGAGAAGTAGGCAGTTCAGCCCAGTGAGTCTGCTCCGCCATGCAATGAGACTGTGGCTGATCTAATTAACCTCAACCCTACTTTCATGCTTTAGCCCCTTAACCCTTGATTCCCTTATTCTGATTTCAAATCGGTACCTCAGTCTTCCATACATTTAACAATCTAGACTCCACAGCTTCTGCACGAAATAACAGATTGACAGACTACACTCTGAGGGAAAAGAAATCCTCCTCTGCTGTCTTATATGTATGACCCCTTACCTAAAGGTTATGGCCTTATGTATAGTACCTTATTTAATGCCTTTTGGAAATCCAAATGTTTTACAACATCTGATTCCCTTTTACGTATCCTGTTTGTTATCTCCTCAAAGAACTGCATTAAATCTACCAGGCATGATTTCCTCTTCATAAAGCTGTGTTGACTCTGCTTGATTATATAATGTAAAATGCTAAGCTATTACATCCTTTATAATATACTCTATCATCTTGCTAATGACAGATGTTAAGCTAATTAGCCTATAGTTACCTGTTCCTTGTCTCCTTTTTTTGAATAAGGTTGCTACATCGACAGTTTTCCAATCCACTGGGACATTTCTTGATTCTAAGGATTCTTGGAAAATTGCAACAGTTCATCTGCTATCTCTATAGCTACTTCCTTTAATATCTTAGGATGCAACCCATCAGGTCCAGGAGACTTTTCGGCCTTTAGTCCCATTAGTTTCCCAAGTACTTTTTCTCTAGTGATAGCCCTGTAATTATTCTGTACTTTTGGAATGCTATTCATATCGTCTACATGAGGACTGATGCAAAATACTTATCAGGTCCTCTGCCATTTCTCCAATATTAATTTTCCAGCCTCATTCTTTAAGTACGTTCACTTTGCTTGCTGGAGATATTTGCAGAATCTCACAGTTGGTGACCATGAATGCATCATAAAGGTCTATTTCTCCTGAACCACCAATTATACCAATTTTGCCTGTGACAATGCCAGTCAGAATGAATGGACACTTGTGTTTGCAGCTCTGGCTGGATTCCCACAGGTGCAGGGGTATCATCAATTGTATACACAAGGAGTTAGGACACCTATGGTTCATCCAGGAATGTTTGAAAAATCCATTGGTGTGCAGCTGGTATGTAACTGCAAAAAGATCATTATACAAGATTTCTGGCCAATTGCTATGATGCTTTTGTCCTGTGGCAGACCAACCTTCCTGATGTCTTTGTTGCTGTAAGCAGAATTACTGGGTGGTTGCTAGGAAACATGCTGCTGTGAGGCAAGTGGGTAAGGTGAGGCCTCTTAGGAAGGTAGAATGGGGAGGCAGGTTGGTGTTTACAGCAGGGTGTAGGTACATAGAGTTATAGTCATAAAGTCTTCCCTTTTGTCACGGCTGGGCCATTCAAGTCCCTTCGTGGAGTGCATGTAGGATCATGATACTCCATTACTGCTGCCTACATTCTTAGCCACCTCCAACTACATCTTCTTGATCTTTCCTTTAGGCTTGCTTCCATCACTGAGATATAGTTTATCCTTCTGGCCGCTCACAGCTCTATGCAGCACATTTAGTGAGCCAACTTTAAAATGGGTTGTAGCCATTTAATTTCTGCTTTTTGTCTTTCACTTTGTTCATTTCTTCCCAGCTCTAATATCCTCAATTGACACCTTTAGATTGTACTTTTAAATACTTGAGGTTAGAATGTGTTATGGGCTTTCAGGGACTCGTTGTCCCCATAAAGGAGTTGGGTGCATCATCATTCCTGAAGATGACATTTCAATTTAGTTTGATAAATTTGTGTTGCAGTTGTGTAAGTTTCCTTTGACCATTTTAGTTTGTTTTAGATTAATTTAGATTTTAGTTTCATTACCCCACCAGGGGCTGACTAACTTGTGTAATGTTTATTGAAAGAATCAATCATCTCATTTGGCAATATTGCGCCCCTGCTGTTAATTAAATGGCAAAAATGCAAGTAAAATAATGATGAGGTAGTTGATCTTGATCTGACTTTTCCTAATGTAAGGAGTTGTTACAAAAGATGTTAAACAATCAACATTTCCAAGTGCACTATTTATTATTCACCAACTTACAAAGTATTATATGGAAA